GTGTAGCTCATTAGTAGAATTCACGGTTAGCCTGCTCGAGGCCATGGGTTTGATTCCGAGCCCCACAAAAAGGAAGGAAGACAGGAAGAGAGAGAGGAACAGAGAGAGGGGGAGAGAGAGGGAGAGTGGAGGGAGGGAAAGCTCACTAAATTGTGCTTTTTCCTTTTAATCAACAGCCATAGATTTTATCCCCAATAGAAATCCCAGGAAATTAGTGAATTGGTTACCAGTTGCTTTCTGATTAGCATTCTCTATCCAAGTTCCAAAAATCAGCTAGGTGTTGTAAATATTTAAAAATAAAACTAAAAGGCAGACCATCATTATCTGTACATACTATGTTGGAGAGACTATCACAGTAAGGAAGCAGGAATTTCACCTTCAATGTCCCTGATTTGAAGTGATGATTTGTAATAAACCTGGCTGTTTGTTCCCTAAGTCTGGTGCCTGGCCCAAGGAAAGCAGGGAGCAGTCTCAGGCTTGACAAGTCAGTCATGTACTGAAACCGTCAGCCCCTTCACTTCGATCTAAGCCCCGTTCTTAAGGCTCCAGTCAGCAGCGGAGACTCCAAGCGCTCCCCTCTGTGGCTCAGAAAGCAGCCAATCTTTGCGGTGCTCCTCCTTGTCTGTCACACACAGGGACCAGATGGCCACCTCCGCTGCAGCTCGCCCGTCCCCGGGAGGACAGCAGGGCAGAACGTGAGGCTGGCGCCACTGCTGAGTTCTGCATGACTCTGCCATGAGCCCACCATGCGTTCTCTATTTTTCTGGCTTATAAGGTGAACAATTATATAATTAGGGAATCTCAGAGGTGGAGAAGAGGCAGCGTTTTCCAGGGGTGTTTTTAAGACATTCCCTGACATAGGCATTTAAAGCCCCTCTAGACCCCAGGCAGGAAGCTTCTGGACCTGTTTTTGGAGGCTGGAACAGCAAAGGTGGGCTGCATTCCCCATTCGATGTACAGCATAAATACGCCCAGGATGAGGTTGGACGGAGCCCGGGCTGCCGTGTACACCTGGCACCCTCCCAGGCTCACTCGAGCAGCGGGTCTCATCTGGCAAAGTGGTGAAGTTGTTCTGGGAGAAGCAGTTCCAGCCTTGTTAGTCATGAGGGCAGAAACCTCAAGTCTGTGCAAGGGATTCCATCATCTCTCAGGTCAATTTCAAGACTAGGGACAAAACACAGCTTCAGTATTTGACCAGGTCCATCTGCAGATCAAACGATTAGCAGCTCCACAGACTAGTAGGTCTTCCTGGGCTCTCAGGGTACTGACTGTGGAGTCCTCAGTTCAGTAGGTGGTTGGTGTCTCAGCTTCATGCATTTTTCCTGTTCTGTGAAAGCTTCTCTGATCTATAGGAAAATTTAAAAATTGTTTCACATCTTTGTCAGAGTGAGCCACAAAGAACTATGATTTGGGCCCTGCTGCTCCACACTAAATCTGCACTTAAGGTCCTTGTGGGAGGTGCAGTGTGTGTGCATGCATTTATGTGCATGGAGGTTTGTGTGAGCACGTATGCGTGTGAGTGTGTGAGTACATGTATATTGATGGTCAGGGAGTTTGTCAAAATAGCTTCAATAGATTTTTAATAAATGATGGCTTGCATTATCTGCCAGAGTGATAGACAACAGCAAGCATAGCCAACAACAGCAAACCAGAGAGAAGAGCAGTAAAACAAACAGTGAAGAGTGGAGGGAAATCAAGATGGATCACTGGCCTCCAGTGACAGCAAAAAACAAATGGACACAAACACTGACACAATCCTTTCCTACAGCCTCCACTGAAATTCTACCATCAACACACGAAGGAAGAACTGTCCATTTTGGCCAGCTTAACAATTCATTCCTTTTTGTATTTTTTCCAACTATTATCTCTGTTAAACTACTCTGTTAAACTCCTGAGTTTTAGATGACAGATAGGTGATAGATACGTAGATATTAATGGAGTACATATTTTTAAAAAAATTTTGGCAGCACTGAGGACTAAACCCAGGGCCTCAGGCATGCTAGGCAAGTGCTCTAACACTGAGCTATACCCCCAGCCCTAGAGTGCATATTTTAAATCAGTAAAAAATGACATTAAAATGAGTAAAATGCAAGCAGGTGTGTGTGTGTGATACATCTCATTTTGTCCTTTCCTTGTTACCTGGAGAATTCGTGGGTCTTCTGCAGAATAGATTTTTCCCTTCACCTTAGGTTTGGCCCTGGACAATTGAAAATGGCACTATGTAGATTGAACAGCAGTGAAAACAGGCAAAAAATAAGAGGTCTCTAATAAAAGAGCCCAATATCTATCCCTCCTTCAGCCAGCACAGCTGTGACCTAAGTGCACCAACAAAAATGAAAGCAGCATGACTTCATGCATTCATGTTCAGGAACTATTTTGAGCTCTTGTTATACCCTATACACACATTATTAACAGCAAACAATTCTCCCGTGTTTTAAACTTTCCAGCTTTGCCCCACAGTGATGCTAGGGGATTGTCCTGACGTCCTTGCAAAGTAGATGGCATTGTTATTCTTACTTCATTTGTAGAAGTGAAGAATTGAGTATCGAAGATGCTTAGTCACCTGGCCAAGGTCATGTGGCATTTGGACAACAGAGCCCGGATGCAAGTTCATGACCACCAATGGCAGAAACCACGGGTTTACCACAGTCAATGTGGTTGATCCAAAGTTTAAAACAAAAATAAACAAATAAGGTATAAGGAAAACACTGGAAAATCCCTTATATTCAGTGGATGCGTATAGATCTCCTTATGTGTATGTGTGCATATACCAGCTAGATTTACAGGTTTAGGGTTCCAGAAAGGCTCCTAGACTGTTGAGTGAATATATATATATATATTCATCTAGGAGAAGATAAGTATACAAAGGAAAACAAGTCCAAAGCTTGAGGCTGGGGCCCTCCCACATTTAAAGGTGAGAGAGCAGAGAGGCATCGGCAAGAGGAGGCTGAAAAGGAGCAACCAGGGAGGAAGGAGAAAATCAGGAGGAGGGGCCTGGAAGCCAGGTGAACACAGTGCCGCAGCGAGGTCAGGCAGGTGACTGAGGAGCAGGCATGGACGAGGCCATGTGAGCACCGCTGCTGGCGCTGACCACAGCTGCGGGCCTGGGCACACAAAGCTCTGAGAGAAACAGCTCAAGGGCAATGGTGAGGTGACTGAGGGGCAGAATCGGGCCCTTCCAGGAGCCCCGCCACGAAGGGAGCAGAGGACACGGGGAGCAGCTCCGAGGCCCGGGCCCTGGGCTCCATGCTCAGCACTGCAAAGGGGCAGGAGCAGAAAATGCAGGAGGAAGAAGAAGGTAATGTGTGAAGCTAAGAAATCTTTGGCAGTCGCTGCTATTTGTTCAAAGCTGAGAGATAGGACATCATATCTGTGCGCTGATAAGAACGATCTGGTGGGGTAGGGGAGAGAGAATTAAACACAGAAAGGAGAGTAAGCAGAGTTTAGTCCTTCAGCGAATAAAAGAGGATGGAATACAGGGCACAGGAGAGAAACTGGCTTCAGGCAAGAGTAGAGTCAGTCCTTCGCGTTGCTGGGTGTGAGAAGGGAACGGGAGCACAGAGAGTCACGGACCGGACAGTGGACAGACTTGGGAGGGGAGGAGAGCGCTTTCTTCTGAGGGGGAGGCGAGGGAGAGAACCACCCCAGCAGACACTCTGCAAGACCCACAGGCCAAAGCGGGGACCACCTGCGGTTTGGTGTCACCAGTTTGGAGTGAGAGAAGTTCAGCTGGAGCTTTGCTTGGCTGTGGCAGCCACCTGGCTGGAGACTCCAGGGAAGAGAGGGTTTAATCCGTGCTGTGGTTCGAAGCATGACTGTCCTCCAAAGGCCCAGACATTGGAGACACAGCCCTTGGGTTGTAGAAACTTTAAGCGGTGGGGCCCAGTGGAAGGAAGCTAGGTTGTTGAGGATCCACAAGTAACAACACTCCAGGGGATTACTGGGGGCCTGGCGGCTGCTCTTCCTCTGCCTTTGCTTTCTAGCTGCTGTGAGGTGAGCACGTCCTCCACCATCTGATTCCTCAGCATCCACCATGATGTCCTGCCTCAGCAATGCCCACAGCAACAGGGCCAACCACTGACTGAAACCTCTGAAACTGTGAGCCACAGTGAATTTCCTCATTATAGGTTGATTTATTTAATAGCAATGGAAAGCTGACCAACACAACCAGGTTCAGAAGTTTGCCATAAAGTGTAAGAAAGATGAAGAGATATCATGCACGATACGGAATAGGCAAGATAACAGCTGCAGTGATGAGCCCAGCATGGTGGCACATGCCTAGAATCCTAGCACTCAGGAGGCTTGGTCAGGAGGATCTCTGCGAATTTGAGGCCAGGCTGTGCTGCATAGTAAGTTCAAGGCCAACCTGAACTACATAGCAAGACCCTGACTCAAATAATAATTATAATAATAATAATTGCAATGATAAACCACAAACTCAAAGTTGGATAAATAAAAAAGTAATAGAAATAAGTAATCCTATACATTTTTGCCAAGAATGTCCACCAGTACAGCCACTATGAATATCATGTGTATCAGTACGGAGGTTCACTGAAACACTAAAAATAGAACTCCGTGGCATATATCCATAGAAAATGAAATTGTCGTACAAAAGAGATAAGCAAATGCCCATGTTTACTGCAGCACTATTTACAGTAGCCAAGATACTCAATCAGCCTAGTTGCCCATTACTGGAAGAACAGATAAAGAAATGTGCATATACAGTGTGCTTTAGCCATAAATTTGAATGAAATCTTGTCCTTTGCAAGAACATAGATGGAAAAAGAAAGCGGATGGAATTGGAGGATCTCATCTGAAGCAGAATACGTCAGACACAGAAAGACAGGCCTCACATATTTTCTCTTGTGAGTGGAAATTGTTTAAAACCCTGGAAGTAGAAGACAGACTACTCTGGCTGCGAAGGGAACCACGAGGGAGGAGCGAGAAGAGGGGCGAGACAGGACAGAGGGAGGGCGGCTGTGACCAGCACACGGTACGTGCTTCCCGTGCGCAAGGCCCCGGGAGCTCATCAGCTTGCGTAACCATCACTTACAATGATAACCAAGGGGAGTGCTGAAGGCAGAAAATCACTGAACTGGGGAGCCCAGAAAGCAGCAGCCGTAAATACGAGATGACCTTCCAAGAGCCGGATGCCTGAATTTACGACTTTGGAGACTACGAGACCATGGGCCGCAGCAAGGGGAGCATCGCGGCAGCAGGGGGCTGAGGAGGAAGGGAGAGCTCACGGCCTTAAGTGAGGAGCGCAGCGGCCAGGCTGGACCTTCGCCGGCTCGCGGCAGGGCCTTCGCGGCGCCGCCCGCAGTAAGGCTCCGTGAGAAGAGCTGTGGACCAGGCCGGCGGCCCGAACGATCCCGATCCCGGGGCCTGAGGGCCGCTCCGGGACGCGCTCGAGGGCAAGGGGCGGGAGGCCAGGTCAAGGTCAGGCCCTGGGAATAAGCCGGGGGAGGAGGAGCGACTCTGAAGGGGCGGGGCGACCGATCGCGTCCCTGGGCAGGCACAGGGCACAGCACCGACTGCAAGCTAGGTTAAAGGCCACGTTTCGGGATCCGGCAGGAAGCTCCTGTCCGTGGAGGGCCGCAGTCTAGCATGTCCTGTCCTGTGTTCTTGACCACAAGGTGAGGAAGGTGCTGGTTCGCTTTGAGCTTTGAGCAAGCAGCGGGGGAAAGGGGTGCCGTTCAGGCGCAGGGCACTGCGGGTTTGGCTAACGCGCTTACTTCCTGAGAAGCCCAGCTCTGCGGCCCGGTAACCCATCCTGCAGCCCTGCCCCACAGACAGGGACGGTCGGGGTCACGCCCTGCCCCAGGCCCGAGCTCGCAGCGCGTCCCCTCTGCCCCGTCCCCCTGTGAATGCTGCTCTGCTTGCCTCGGAGAGGAAACCACCAGGCCACAGGGAAGGCCCCCTTCGCCTCAGCTCCAGCCGGTTCTGCAGACGGAAGTGTGGACGTCTCCAGCTGCTGCTCACAAAGAGAAAATGAAGCCAGCGACCAGGGGCAGCCGGGGCCCGGGTCCAGGCAGTGAGGGGCAGGTGCCCACCGGGCAGGATGGGTGAAAACCCTCAGGGCAAAATCCCTATGAGTAAAGGGCTGCCTCAGCCAACAGCGTCTTTGTGTGAAACGCCATCTACATCTGAAAAAAAAACCACCCAGCCTGTGAGGTTTCGTGTTAGGCTAATTTTAGCGCAGCATTCTACAAGGAGGAAGGAACTGACACTCGCTAAATTAATTCCAATCGGTTTGACTGCAAACAGAACTGGCTTCCCACAGGGAGTCAGACAACTCCATCCTGGGAAAGGTTGCGCAAGTCTGTGCCTGTGGAAGCCCCCCGGGGGGGGGGCAGCCCGTGGGCGGGGGCGCCTGTCATCCCATGCAACCCCCCATGGCCGGCAGCCCCAGCACCCAGCAAGGGCAGCCCAAGGCAGGCCAGCAGGGCGGGGGCAGGGAAGCTGCTCAGCAGGAGGCGCCCTTTGCCTGGAGGGCACGCTGGACCTGACTCGGAGCTTTGGAGGCTCCATCCTCTCCTTTTGCTCTGGTGGCTCCAGGCCCAGGCTGCCCGCGCAGCCTCGGTTCTCCAGGTCCAGTGCAGCTGGGGGCCTTTGGACTCTGTAGACCTCTGCACCTCCACCGCCTACGTGTCAGGCGGGAGTAACAACAGTGCTTTCACCCGGGGCTGCCGTGTGAGGGGAATGTGTAAAGTAAAAGACAGTCTCTCCTTCCAGGAAAGCACCTGGTGCACCTTAGCGTGTGTGTGCGCGTGCGTGTGTGTGTGCGCGTGCGTGTGTGTGTGTGTGTGTGTTGCTGGGGATTGAACCCAGGCCCTTCCCAACAAGCTGCATCCCCAGCGCTGTTTGTTGTTTCAAGACGGGCTCTCACTCAGTTGGCAGGCTGTCCCTCCAGGGCTTCAACTCAACTCTGCTGTCCAGAGTGGCTGGGTCACAAGCCTGCACCACCATGCCCAGCTCAGATGCTAGCTTTTTCAGGAACTGCTGCACTTATTCACTTGCTACAGGTTGGATCTTGAGTACCCATGGGTTGAAGGCGTGGTCCTCAGCACATGGGCTACTGGGAGGTGGAGCCAGCTGGAAGGAAGTGAGGCCACTGGGGTGACCCTGAAGGGGGCACTGGGGCTCTTGTCCTTCCCCCCTGCTTTGCTTCCGACGCCAGGTGAAGGCCTCCTGTGTGCCATGCTCTCGGGCCAACAGGCATCCTGCTCCTACCCTGCAGTCCTGGCGGCCCAGGCCCCCAGCAATAGGGCCGAGCAACCTGGGCTCCGAAACCACAAGCCAAATCCTTCCCCTTATTAATCTGGTTATTTAGACATTTTGTCACTGTTGTGGCTTAGATCTAAAACGTCCCCCAAAAGTCTTATGTGTTTGGACAGTGACTGGATCACGATGCTGTGCTCATCAGTGGATCCATCCCGCTTTGAGCTCAAGCTGAATATAGTTGGGAGTTAGGGACCGGAGGTCGATCACTGGCTGGTTCGTAGCCAACAGTGTTGCTCTTATCCAGCTTTCTTTCCTTCTCTGCTTCCAGGCCACCATGCAGTGAGCAGCTGTCCTCCACCAGGCTCTTTTGCCTCATGTTTCTGGAGTGGAGCAGCTGGCCATGGACTGAACCCAGTGGAACTGTGAACCAAGTAAGCCTTCCTTTGAGTGTGGGTGTTGGGTATTGTGTCCAGCAGTGGGGACAGTGACTGAGACAGTCACAGTCACGGAAAGCTGTCACAGCACCACCCTTTGAGGGTCTAAGTTTAGCTCCAGGCAGATTCCTGGTCAGCCCGTGAAGCCATTAGTTTTAAACCGGTTCACTTTCAGTGTACCGTGGTCTCCGCTTCCCTCCCCATGAGATCACATTCTTTGGCCTCACACCTACTGCCACCACCACCACCAAGTCTTCCCTTGAAAAATCTAAATCGGAAAGAAAACAGCTGAGTGACACCAGAAAATTAAATACATAAAACCATGTATCTTCCCTCTGGAGTCTACCCCATGGCCAATGCTGGTTTGCTTCGACTGCTCCTTTCCAGGTAAGAATCTGCCCCTGGTGGCCCACAGGTTAGGAGCTTAAGGAGAGGACTTTATCCTCAAGTTGGCCCAAGAGTTTTGTGCCAAGGCTAACTTTCAGAGTTAGTCAAACCCGTCCTTTCTTTCCAGCAGGGAAGTCTGTGCAGGTATGCTGCTTTAAACAAGGTGGACTTAGCCAAGGCAGCGGATGATCTTGTGTTAAGGCGGAGTGCAAACACATCTTGCCTGCTTTGTGAGAGGTTTCCAGAGAACTCGCAGGTGCAGCAGAACCACGGCTGGGCGGAGGGGCCACTGGGCCCTCTAGGAACTTCTCTCAAATATACCACAGGAGGCACTGCTCCCTGCAGAGTTCACGTGGGACGTCTTTAACTGTCCGCCAGTCTGTTTTCCCCAGAATCAAACATCTGCCCAAGTCCAAGAACATCTCAAGAAGCCAAAATAAATACAGAAACCTTTTCCCATAGCTCACCAGTTGATTTTCCCAGCTATAAAAAGATGTTTCAACTGACAGGAAATAGTTCCCTGACTGACACAGGTCTCCTGAGAGGAAGTGTGACTTCTTGTCCACTAACATTTCATGGTGGCTGAGAATCAGCCTGCCTTCCTCTGAGGGCTTCCTAGGGCAACCAGTTGTTCAGGTCAGGAGTACCATGATATAATCTGAACCCAATGATCCTTGTAAATACTCCAATTCCAGGGAAATCCTCATCTTTGCCCTAATTACAGCTTTTTTTTTTTTTGGTACTGGGGATCGAACTCAGGACCTTGCACCTGCAAGGCAGGTGCTGGAACCACTGAGCTAAATCCCAGGCCCACAAATTGTTTTAATTAACTCAAGGAATAAGGCCCAGGCCTATTTGGAGATATATTCTCCCTTACAGCTTCTAGAAGTTCAAGAGGCAAAATATTTTTCAACATTAGGTGATCCATTCCAAATTATTAATTTCATCTAACGAAGTATGATCGTTTTCTGTTGCTGCTGTAACCAATGACCACAAATTTAGGGACTTAACACAAATTTTTGCCATGACAGTTCGGTAATGGTCCAAAATCTCACGCCCGCCTGCCAATGGCTGGGCTATTTCTTCTGGAAGGCCCGGGAGAATGTGTCCTGGTTTGGCCTGACTGGTACCACGTCCCTCCAACTCTGTCCACCCGTCCCTCTCCCTCCTGTGGCCCCTGTACCACCCTTGTAAGTCCACTCATGATTGCATTTAGGGGCCACACAAGTACTACAGCACAGCCTCCCCACCTCACCCAGTCTCCTCTGCAAAGCCTCTGTTGCCACACAAAGTAACGCTCAAGGTTCTGGGATTATAAGTATGAGTCCTGGGCGGGGAGGTCTATAACTTGCCTAATACATATGGGTTTGAATTCATTTTAAATAATGTGGTCCAGCCTCTACTGCTTTTAAAGTAATTTCTTATTTTATACGTGACGCCGTGGGCAAGCTGACGAAGCCCTATTTCTTTGTCTAGCAGGCTATGCTACTGTAATTGCTAACTGGAAAGCCTGTCCCTCATCGGACTCTCGTTAGTCTCGTCTAGGACCACAAGACCGCCTACCGTATTTCCTGCGTTGCCCTGGTCAATGGTTTCAGTTCCCAGAAAATGAATCTTAACAGTCAGAATTTTTGATTGCCAGAGTAACCTTGCTTGAACTGGTTTAAATTTTTTAAAAAAGTGTTGGCTCACAAAACTGAAAATTGCAGTGGTGTTGATGGGCTTGGGCACAAATAGAAGCAAATACTCAGTTATGTCCTCAGGAACATTTTGAAGTCAGTGTTTATGCTGGGGGTGGACCACAGGGCCTCACGCATGCCAGGCACAGGTTCTACACGGAGCACCCAGCCCCTCATCTTCAGGAATTTCCAATCCGTCCCTTCCCTTCAACCTGCTTCGCTTAGTCTTGGTTTTTTCTCAGCCGAAGGCTAATGCTCTAATGCTCATAAGTGTTGCAAAACAACATCTCAGAAGTGCTGATCTTCTAATCTACCAACTTAGCAACCCAACAGCTGGAGGCAATGCCTTTCTCTCAGAAGTTGCAGCAAAGGTCCCAGGGGTGTTGTCCCTGACCCAGGGGAAGTCACAGCACATTACCGGCCCTGACGCCATGGCTTCTGGGGTATGTATGTGCTCTGACTGTCGAAGCCTGAGCTCTATGTCTCCTTGAAACCTAGGAGGAGCCCTTGTCCCAGGCCACATAAGGGAGGCTTGGTCTCCCCAAAATAAAGGTAAACTCAGCAGAAAGAGAAGTTGATGGTGGGCCAAACAAATTAACATGTCTGCTACACTAGTTTCAGACCCAGGTGCTGCCTGTACAAGGAACATCTAATAGTGACGAATTTCTCGAGGCAAGACTGTGCTTGCCCCTTACGCTAGACCCTTTCCCTCCATCCTTGAGTAATGCAGCACTACTCAGCTGTGTGTGGATTCTCAGACACCAGAGTCGGGGAAAATGATCTCTTCTTATGCCCAGGGCTGAGCCAAGAAAAGCCTGTTTCCTTGCTGAAATAACCTGACACTGCAGGATTGCAAAACCACGTCACAAAAGTCTCAACTCAGATCTGTAAACCATGGGAACCCTGAAAGAAATGATTGGTTGGATTGTCCAGAGATTACATGACTACAATGAAAGTGTAAAGTTTAGATAGCACATTCTCACTTTCGCCAAAACAGAACACTAATGTGACCCAATGTTTCTTATTTCCAAAAAGCCCCTGACTAAATCAAGTAAAAAGAAACCAACAAAGCTTTCCATGTCCCGGCTTGTAACATTTCTCTTCATAAATGAGTTCCTAGATACTTGAATTTGAAAATCCATCTCTAGGTTGGGTATTCACTTTTCATCTAAAAGTAAATATATATTGTTAATCTGATTTTAATTTTTCTCTTATTTGGAAAAGATGACTTAGCAAATTAGGGGAAAAAAAGATTAGATGGATAAAGAAATCTGAAACATCAGGTTACATTTTCTCATACAGATATTCATCCTTTGTATTATAAAAGTATAAGCTTGGTTTTTCTGTTAAATTATTATTATGATATTCTCATATAGCTATAGAGACAGTATAATGAACACATCTATTTCACTACCTAGTTTTAACAATTACCAAAATATTATCAGTCTCATATCATCCACACATGGGCACACTTACTGATAGTAAACAAATTTCAAATGTCAATCATTTTAATAGTTTGAGACACACATACACACACACATACACCATGAAGGCTACATATGTGGTTGTATGTACACATTGTAAATATCAAAGTTGACCGGGCATAGTGGAGCATGCCTGTAACCCCAGCACTGGGGAAGCTGAGGCAGGAGGGCTGCTTCAAGTTTGAGGCCAACTTGAGCTAACTGGTGAAGTCATGGGTAGGGTGAACTATGAAGTGAGACCTTATCCCATAAATCAAAATGAAATAGAGTAAAATGTCAAAATCAATCATTCAAATTACAAATAAATCTTTAATATATTAAAATATTGATCAAGTGTCATTCAATGCATCAGCTTCCTCATTCTATTTTTAGTTTCCTTTCCCTATGTGTAGTGAAAACTGTCATTTGTTTCTGTAGTGTTTCCAACATTCTGAGTTGGGATAACTGGATCCCTATGGTGTGATTTGATAGGGCTCTTTGTCTAATAAACTTCACAAAAATTTCTAGAGGTTTGATTAAATGCAAATTAAAATATGTCAAAGGCATTATAAAGGTAATGGTGTGTAGTTCCTATTCCCTGTAATCCTGAATCTCAAAATTACCTAGATTTTTAAACATTTTGTTTCTAATGTTATGGTCAGTTTTGAAGCTAATATTCATTGGTAGATTCTTATATTGCCAGAGGATTCATTCACTATGAATTTTCTAACCAAATCTCTTTAAAAATTTACCTATTAGAGATAGTCATTGCCTAAGTTGAATATTTCAGAGACTAAATAGTAAACCACAATAAGACAGAAACACTTAATAATATAATACTTGAAAAAATCACTTGTTGATTTTATGAAAAAATTGAACATTGTAGAAGAAAATATCTTTAGCTTTGAAAACACTTCAGTGGAAACTAATCTAAGTGTAGCAAGAAAACCAATGGTAGAAAAATAGTTCTTTAAACAATGAAGAATTTCAATATTTCAGGAGAATATATAATACA